CAAATCTCCCTTTACCAGTCCACCTCTACTACTCATGAACTCATCAGTTGCCCATTTCTTATTAACAGCAGAACCATCAGTTGTAGGATTACCTACCCTAGTTAACTCATAATCGTTAACATCAAGATTGCCTGATAAAACACCACCACCACGCTTCAGGAACTGCGAGCACCAGGAGCTCATAGCTTTATAGGAAACTGCAGCCGAGTCCCCAGCCGATCCACTACTGAGACCTGTAATACCATAACCACCCATGTCAATATTACCTGTCATATTAAAGCCGCTGCTACTAATTGAACTTACGCTGACGTGATCCGTGACCCATTTCTTAGACACAGCAGAATTATTGGTTGTAGGAGCACCTAACTTTATTATTTCGTGGTTTTCCATATCAAGGTCATCAGAAAGTGTAAGTCCACTGTAAGTCTCACGCTTGCTCCTACCACTACTAATCTTATCTTCCACCCACTTTTTACAGGTTGCATCGGTATTGTCTTTTGGATCACCGAGTTCAGTAATTCGGTTAGTGCTCATCCGCAGATTACCTTTCATTGAGTTTTGGCCACCTCTTAGGACAACACGGTCGGTAACCCATTTTTTAGGAACGGCTTCATTATCAATGGCTGGGTCAGGCAGTCCGAAGAGTCTGTATCTAGCCATTGATATGTCAGCCGACATGCGACCTCCAAGATTAACAAAATTATTATCAACGGCCCACTTTTTTGTAACAGCAGACTGGTCAGTAGCCGGATCCTTAAGATTTACTATTTCGTGTCCATCCATTTTAAGATCACCTGTCATTGTATTTAGACCGTTACGATGAATGTAGTAACCCAATCTTTTATCTAAAAGGGCTTTCCTTATAAGACCACTTGAAGTGGAGGCATTTTCGCTAGTATGCGGAGTTTTATCAAACAGAACCTCTCCACGGACAAACTGATTGTTACCACCAGACAGCTTAAGGAAATTACCGGTGTTTGAATTAAACCATCCTTTGCTAACAGCAGACTGGTCCTCAGTGGGGTCCTTAAGATTTTTAATCTCATGGTTTTTCATGTCAATATCCCCAGCAATATCAAGTCCAGTTACAGGTTTATTTAACATTCCAACCACCCAGTCTTTGCTAACAGCAGACTTGCCGGTTGTAGGGTCACCTAGAGCCTTTATCTCATTGGCTAACATATTAAGATCACCTGTAAGGGTAAGACCAGGTAAACTTGCACGACTACCTTCAACCCAACTCTTACTGACAGCATCACCTGGATTAGTAGGATTGTTAAGATTAGTTACCCTGTTACCTCCCATGTTAATATCCCCAGTCATTGTAAACCCTGCTGGTTGAATTGTAAGAGCAGCTCTTTTTATAATCTCATCATCCACCCACTTTTTTGTGACCGCAGACGTATCATCTGTAGGTGCACCTAAACCCTTCACCTCATTACCATTTATTTACTCCTTTGTTGTATCCCCTATAGAGAGCCATTTTATAACATACATAATGTTTACAAGAACATTTTCATTATAATAAATACAACTGTAGCACCAATTCCAGCTCCAGCGATAGCGCTAACTTCTGAAGACTTATTACTATTAACCATAGTTTTACGAAAGTAGTTGTTTGCTCTAGGTTTAGTCTGTTGTTTTACGTATCCACTAAGAGTATCAAGGTGATTAACAGGTGTTGTATCCTGATGTTGCTTCTTTGGAGGATCAGCTTTCTTAACACCTACATAATTTACTTTAGTATTTACACCAAACTTAACACTAGAGTTAGGTTTAAGTAGAATATTATTATAACCGGGAATAGGATCCTTTAATATTACCAAATTTGATGGAAATAAAATGCCAGGATTTATTGCTGTATTTACTATTGCGTTAGTATCTCTAATTGCTGTTCTCATATTAGCGATTCCAACTGAAATATCAGTTTGAACTACAACATCTTCTACAAGTTTACGGAATCCTTTTTGAGACAGTAAAGAGGAGGTTCAACGGTTTACTATAGCCCACCGAGTATTAGCTTGAGCTCCAAGGACACAGTATACATAACATTGCAAGCTTTCCTGTAAAATTGAGGTATCAACAAGACCCACGCTTTTGTTTGCGTAATACCTCATATAATCATTTAGACTAGCAAGGGAAGACATACCTGTAAGCTCATCATAACTAATCTCAACTATCATTCCAGATGTATTTTTAGCATACCTAACATTTCTAACAGTTTTATGCTCATTTCTAAACTTCCTATACACAATTCCAACAGATGCTCGACTATCACTAAACTTATCAACCTCCCACTGACCCTTAACAGGAATATTACTAGATATTACCTTTAACCTATCAGAATACTGCTGAAGTAAACTAGGATTTTTAATAAACCTTCTAATCCATAAGTACACATGAAAGTTCATAATAGATGTGATAATAGGATTTACATTACTATGAGGACTTGTATGATAAGTAGAGACTTCACATAGATATGTAGCTACATAAGTTCCACATATCGTAGCATAATACGACAACTCTCTATTAAACTTTGGTGTAACATTATCAATACTAATATAATCACTAATTTTAGGAAGGTTACTATAGAAAAACTCACTGTTACTAACATAAACCTTAAAGTTGGAGATAGGATTAGTTTTTGTAATAGGAGGATACTTTCCAATAACAGGATCACCCTCAGTAAAACTTATCTTCTGAACTATACCACCACTGGACCACATTGAAGGCCACTTGGTTGCTATTACTTCTAGTGGAGGTTGATCCATGCCAGTCATAGTTTTGAATTGTACTGGAGTAATAATTTCCCTTGTACTAGTGAGATAAGATGTGAATTCCCTATCCTTCTTAAAACCGTCATATCTAATGTCATATGAAGATATACTATCTAAATCAACAAACCAAGTGATAACTCCTATATCACCACTACTAGTAGCCTTTGCTTCAAATTTAAACCTATTCATATCGGCGTGAGGGTACTTTTTAATAAATCTAGCCCTCTCAGCATTCTCTACATTTTTACCAGCAACAGGATCGACATGATCTTCATCATCTTTATTTCCATACTTATTTTCATATTCCTGATACGATCTATACGGCGACTTACCAACTTCTCCTCCACCTAGTCTCATTCTTAATAACCTAACGTATGTTATTAAGATGAAGTTCACAATTTTACTTCAGGGCTCGCACACTATTGTATCACTACAGAATTCAGTTCTTACAAGCAATTATAATTCAGTCTTTATAAAGAGAGTATCGGTATTCTGGGAGTACTTCAACATAAGGGAACCAACAACTATTCTCAAAGTGAAAACAGATGATGGAGAATCTGATGTAATCATTTATAAAGGTTACTACACATTTGACAGTATGAAGAAGTTAGTTGAAAGACACGGTGTTAAGCTAACCTACTTTGCTGAAACTGCAGGATGTCAAATAGAGGCAGTAAAACAAGATATCACAATAGAAACACGATTACTGACCATGTTAGGTTTTAATAGATTTTTTAATCCTATGATCCTACTAAAAGGGAGGAGTTTGACAAGTGATAGCAAAGTTGACTTCAATAACGGTCTACGATACGTAAATATACACTGCAATCTAGTTAGTAACAGTTTTAACGTTAACCCTTGGGGAAGACCCAGCGATGTAATAACAAGTGTTACAGTTCCAACTGACAGACCATTATTAGGCTCGGTAGTTAGTTACATTGATGTTGAAAGTAGGATTTCAGTTATCAAGGGTTCTTTCTCAGAACTTGTATTCTACATGACTGATCAAGACGGGAAACCTATTGATATAGGTGAAGTACTTATCGAGATGTACTTTGAGTAGTGAGCTTACATTAGTTAATATAAGATGGACGACGATATTATGAAAGAACAGGGACTACGAGATATTTACTACAATCCTAAGACAGGATTTCAAACACCAGAGAAACTATATCTGAGAGCAATATCAGACGGACTTAAAGTAACCAGAAACCAGGTCAAGAAATGGATAAACGAGCAAGACACATACACTAGGTACAGACAAGTGTTTAGGAAACATAAGTTCAGACAGACGTACGTTCAAACTTTAGGTGAACAGTTACAAATGGATTTAGTTGACATGACAAAATATGACGATAAGAACAAGGGATACCGATGGATTCTCACATCAATCGAAATACTAAGTAGGTACGCATTCACGGTACCAGTGTATAGGAAAAACGCGACATCAATGAAGGATGCAGTCAGTAACATTTTAGAGCAATTTAATAATCGTTTTGGTAAATACCCAAAATTCGCCCAGTTTGATCAAGGCACAGAGTTCTACAATAAAGATGTAAAGTCATTGCTTAATAAATATAACATTGAATTTTTCTCTACTTACTCAGACAAAAAGGCCGCAGTTGTGGAAAGATTTAACAGAACACTGAAGGCTCTAATGTGGAAGTACTTTTACAGTGACAGCACATAAAAATGGTTAGACGTCCTTCAAGACTTAACTGATAATTACAACAGTTCAGTGAACAGATCAATTAAAACAACACCGGATAGTGTAAATGAGTCCAATTGGACTGAAGTATGGAAGACACTTTTTAGTCACAATTTAGGCAAGCCATCAGAACCAAAGTTTGCTGTCGGAGAAAGTGTCAGGATCTCGAAGTACAAATCAGTGTTCACAAAAGGGTACGAAGCAAATTTCACAGAGGAGTTGTTTACTGTGATGGAAGTGTATCACGGTCATCCAAACACGTATACAATAAAAAACAGTGCTGATGAACCAATAATTGGCAGATTCTATGAACAAGAACTGCATAGCGCTGAAGGAAGAGAACCTGATTTCAGAATAGAGAAAGTACTAAGAAGAAGAACAGTGAAGGGTAAAAAGATGGCCCTAGTTAAGTGGTTAGGTTATGATGACAAATTTAACAGTTGGATACCAGCTGGAGACATCAAGTCCCTAACATAAGTTAAAGTATTATGGAGGACTATAACGATGAATACGAAATGGAGGAGAAGACGTATCCTCAGTATGACGACCTTAGTTATGATGACCTAACGACAGCTTTTAGTAGGTTAGATACAAGGGTGAAGGGAGAGGCTATATATGGTGATGACCCTATAGTGATAACCAATCTTAAAAGTGAACTGGACTATGTAAGGAATCTCGTGGAGAGACGTGCAATAGAAGAAACAACTTTCACGGAAGGAAATGATGGTACAGTGAACATCTCAGGTCCATCGGGAAGCACAACCGTCCCAGAAGTCAACTTCGTGGAAGACCCAAACAATGTACTTCCTGATGTGCTAGATGCATTCAACGAATCATTTGACGCTGACTGGGATGAAATAGAAGCCCGCCTAGAGAAACTAAATAAGATTTCAACAGCAAATAAAAAGAGAGATTTTGAAAACCAGGTGGAGCGTGTTCAAGCTGTTGCAAGAGTTATCAAGAGTAAGGAGGGACTAATACTAGACCCTAAGAATAGATACGTCAGGGAACTCATCAAACGATCATCTGTAAGAACACTCAAGGATGGCACAGAGGTGTTGGTATTTAGAAGTGAACAAGGTATTGACAAAAGTGGCACACAAATAATGAAACGTGGTAAGACCAAGATTCCCGTGTACTCAAAGGACTCACCTGCTTTGAGAGAATATAAGGACCTTCTAAAGAAAATAAAAGAGGTACCTATGGATCCTGACAATATAATTGGAAGTGATGAGGAAACCAGAGAAATGCCACAATTTGATGAAAGAAGTGAGGAATACGCTAACCGTGAGAACATTGAGTTAATAGACATAGGTGCAAAATTAGGGGATCTTCCAGGGCTAACAATGCAAGAAAACAATGAACTGAGGGGTGTTCTTAACCCACCTGATGGATCAAGCATAGAAGGCAGAACAGGTCCCAACGGAGCGTTACAAGTTCAGGCTGACTACTTTAATGAAGCCATTAATGAAACCGTGAAACGAGCCGCCTCTGTGGAAGGTACAACTCAGTACAATGCTCTTATAGAAATAATTGATAGTCTAAAGGAAGCTAGGGATAGGACACTAGAGCAGAGAGTAGTAGAGGAAGCAAGAGAGGCACAGTTGGAAGATATTTCTAGATTACGTAGATTTATTAAATGGTTAGGGTACAATGCTCTTATAGAAATAATTGATAGTCTAAAGGAAGCTAGGGATAGGACACTAGAGCAGAGAGTAGTAGAGGAAGCAAGAGAGGCACAGTTGGAAGATATTTCTAGATTACGTAGATTTATTAAATGGTTAGGGGAGGAAAAAGTGGGTCTAGCTGGAATAGCAATATCAACAGCTAGTTTAATTACAGCCTTATTAATCCATGCTAGGGGAGCCATTGTGAAGACAGCAAAGGCCACTGGTAAAGTAGCAAAAGCATTAGCAAATTTAGCAAAGAAAGCAGGACCAATTCTAGTTCCAATCCTGAACGCAATTGCAACAGCGCTGTCGTGGGGAGCAAAAGGAGTTGCCTGGTTAGCGTCACACTTATGGGTATTAGCTATAGCTGCAGCCTTAATGGTATACAACTATTACACAAAGTAAATTAACAATGGAGGAATACGATAACCGGAGAACGGAGGAGTTGAATGAAAAGTATCCGAACTACGAAAAAACTCCAGATAGCGAATTACCGTACCTTGATAATGATCTTAGGGAAAGTGAAACTCCTGAGGAGACCCAGGAAATTAATTACGTACAGGACCTTACGCGAGAGCAATTAGCTGAGAAATTCCCTGACCTATCTAATCTGTCATACGATGATCTAATGGATGAGGAGACAGACTGTTAAATGAATTAATACTATCCAATTTGGATGAAGACAGTTTCAAAGAAAAGTCGGAAGAACTGAGATACGTCAGAATGCTATCAAATGATTACCAAAGAGAGTCAAACATAAATAAACTTCTCAACTTAAGAGACAAGGTGAAAAAGAGGGATCTCATTAAACGGGATGATCGTAGGAGACTGCAGAGGCTCAGGTTATGGGCAAGGGAGAATGCAGGCATCTTATCAGCTGTTCTAATTTCCTCATCAGCTGTAATCATAGGACTGGTAGCATCAACTAGAAACATATTATGGAAAGTAGGTGACACAACTGAAAAGCTTGATAAGCGGATCAGTAAGTTGCTAAACTACCAAATAGGACTACCACCTGTATTTCAGAAGATAGCCGATGGAGTAGAGTTAGCAGCGGATAATATATGGATAATCATTGTTTGTGCAGCAGTAGTTTTACTATACAAATACAACTAAACATTACATATTGTATACAAGTATGAATACCACAGAAAAAGAACTCCAGCCTGGCTTCAGGAGGAGTCGTATGACATCCGTAAAAGGTCCAAGAACTAGAAGTGTTGTAACATTTAATCCAACAACTGTTAGCCCAGGTGAAGAGCTGTACATTAACATCCCCAAACTAAAGCCTGACTCTTGCCTAGTCCCAGGATCGTTTGCACTATTATTTGACTTTAAAAATTCCAATACAAAAAGCCGCTTTAATAACAACCTGTCTAAGTTGATAGCTAAGCGTCTTCAGATTAAAGTAGCAGGTGAAACAGCTTATGACTGTTCAGGAGAGAGTTTGTACGAAATATACAAAGATCTATGGCTAACACTAGGTGACAGAAAGAAGATGACTGAACAAGGTCTTGCAAGTGAGAATCTCAGGAAGCTGATATCAGGTGATGACTCAGGTGTAAAGGTAGGTGATACAAATAAAGTAGCAGATGCACTCCTCCATAGTGTGTACGGTTCTAAGCTGAGGAAACCAATTGATAAAATAATTGCAGACCATGGACTCTACACACCGTTCTCCATGAATAACAATCCTATGTACATCTTCACACTCTACCTCACAATCCTATGTACATCCGCAATCAGATGAGATTATGACTGCTCAAGGAGGTGAAGCTAAGGGTAATTATAAACTTGATAATCTTGAGTTAGAATACGAGACCATTGAGAATGACGCCCTTGCAAGTGAAGTATCAAGGATGTATTCAACAGGCCGCTCACTGTCCTACAAACATGTTACACTTATGCGTACAAGTAATTGGGACAAGGATCTTACCATTGTCAATGAGAACATTAATATCCCCAGGAAGAGCATGTCAGCAATTGTCCTTCTATTTACCAGTAGAGTGAGAACTGATTCTGAAGAATATATTTACCCAAACATTGATAAAGTGAACCTTACCATTGAGGGTGTGCCAAATGCAGTCTTCTCCCAAGGACTTCCCAAAAATAGGTTCTTCGAAGAGGCAAAAAGATTCTTCTGCCCTATGTGTGAGAAATCCATGGCAGACGAGTTTATGTCCATCAGCCAGTTCTTCACCAATAGTTTTGCTCTAGTAATCGACCTAAGGTCAACACAAGATGATACCACTGGTGGAGGTAAGAAGATTGTTAACACACAATCGGGAGTACTCCTGGAAATCAAAAAGAGAGCCACAACAGCTGACGTTCAATGCAACATTTTTATTGTATCAGATGCTCTCCTTAACTTTGCCAATAGAGATCTATCAAGTATTCAATACTAACGGTAAAGCATAGAGATGCAACAACTTAAGCCCCCATTCAACATGCTCATAGTAGGAATGACTGGAAGTGGCAAAACTCAGTTCCTACTTAATATGCTAGAAACAGAGTACAATAGAGTATTCGATTACATTGTCATTAATTGTCCAACCATAGAGTGGAATATGACTTACATTAATTGGACTCATATTAGTGACCACGGGGTTATACAAATTCCATGCTCACAAGAAATGATCGATCTAGTTCTCAAAGCAGTGTCCACCATATTCCGCGGTACTCAAACTCTCATTATAGTGGACGATTGTGCGGCAAGTCAAGATGTAAAGAAAAGAGTCTCAGAACTGGTGCGCTTAGCATTCTCCGCATGACATTACAACTTATCTGTCATTGTACTTACCCAACAATTGTCATCAGTAGCAAAACCATTCAGGGAGAACATTTCCAGGCTAGTTACATTTTACAACCCTAGTCGCAGGGATATGAAGGTGATAACAGATGATTACCTAAGTGGTGTTCCCCAGGAGACAATTACAGAGATTACGAAGATATTAAAAGATGAGAAGTTCACCGCACTGGACGTACTACTTATTCACCCTTAGACATACACTGTTAAACTAAACACCGCGTGAAATATAGATGATGGGAACTGAATCTGATGAAGAAATATTTGAGGCTGTGAGAGAAGTAAAGTCAGAGGATGTCATGTGCAAGTGACTTCTTATCAACACTTATTATTTCAAAGTTTGCTTCTGTATTAGGAAGTTTTGGTGCAGTGGAATCTTCAGAAAAACTGTCAGAGGAACTACTTAGTGACAAACTTCTAAAGGACGACGTAGCATATCTAACCAGAACGATATCCCCCAACATCCCATTCATAGGGCTCATATCTGGTGGCTGTACAACAGCCAAACATGTAGTTGCCCATAAGTGGAATAAGAAGGAGGAGTCTGAGGAAATATCTGAGGAAGCTAAACATATCTTATTAAATACAGAATGTCACACTACGGAGAACCACATGAGTGGGGAAACGCTTGGGAAGGAACAGAGTTCGAAGACATAATTAACGAATTGATTGAAAAAGCTGACAGGAACAAGGAAAAGCTAGATAAGATCCAAAAAACACTGGATTCACTAGAGAGAGATCTATACACGCTCAAGGATAAAATCATAGGACCACTACAACACGACTTTCAAACATTTAAAGCCGATACAATTAAAACAGTTGTAAAAGTATACAAGAAACTACATGAAATGTAATATTTTATTTGCAATAGGAGGTACACAAAAGCGGTAAGCAGTTGGGTGGGACGAGGGAATTCTGCTTCATAAATCAAAATAAAATAGCCATAAAAATTTTTGCATATATAGTATAGGGAAAGATGGAAAAACTATTCAGAAACCAGAAGTTGAATGTTAGTGTAAGATTCATTAAGAAAGGTGAGGACGTACTGTTTTACGCAAAGTATGTGGCGGAGTCTCTGGGGTACGCAGATCCGGGAAAAGCAGTTAGGAAACTAGTCAGGAAACAAAATAAGGTAAGCGTATACGAGCTACGCAAGGGGGGCGATTCGCCCCCCTTCGAAAGTGATCACCCACAGACAATTCTACTGTACGAACCTGGTTTGTATCAACTAATATTCAACTCAAGACTCCCAATAGCGGAAGCGTTTCAGGATTGGGTATTCAGGGAAGTCCTTCCATCTATACGCAAAACGGGCTCATATGAGTTACCAGATAGAAGGTCACTCAGATATAACCAAATGATTCTTATAAACGAAACGGACCTTCATAATACAGTTGTGAGTTACATTAGAGATAACCACCCAGAGGCTGTAATAGTACCTGGCTTAGGTGAGTACCAGGACACTGTGCAAAAGAGATGTGATGCCTGGAAGAAGGGATATAAAGGTGGCCAGCCTGATCTTATTATAGAGAATCCTATGGGAAAGTATAAAGGATTTGCCATTGAATTTAAGTCTCCTAAGGGCACCGGGATTACAAGTGAGAAGCAAGAGATATGGTTTGAAAAACTGAGGGGAATAGGATACGCAACAATGATATCGGACGACCTAGTGAAAACTTGTATTAGAATTAACGAGTACTTCTCACTCAAGAAAAGGGTAAGGAAAGCTGCAGCGAAAAATACAGTTTGCAATGTAAAGCAGTTCAAATCACACAAGTACTAGTTTACTGACAAGTAGATTTAAGTTATCTTGTAAGTAGAACTGAGACATCTTACAAGCAAATTTAAGTTATCTTGTAAGTAGGATTTAAGATATATCATAAGACGAAACCCAGTTAAACCTAAGGTATCTTACAAGTAGAATGGAAGATAAACCTGAGCAAATTCAAGTACCAGTAACAAGCGAAAAGAAGAAGGACCCAAGAAGAGTAGCTGCAGGAAAACGATTAGCTGCAATCAGTAAAATAGCAAAGGAGAGAAAAAAGAAACTGGCTGAACCTGGGGAGTCATCTAGTAATGACAGTATGATTACCTACATAGGAGTGGCCATTGCATTGATATCTCTTGTGATAGCATATAAGTCGCATCAGAGGGAAACAAGGGAACTGGAACCTAAGTACATCCCTGAAACCGTAGAAGTAACTAGGAAAGCTGATGAGTCCAGGTTAGATTCACTTGAATGATACATTAAACATACTATATATTATAACAAGATGAGTAAAGAATCAAAGATGACTATGGAAGTGTATAATGCAGTGTTACTTACAGCAGGAGCAGTTGGTATATCAATGGCATCGAAAAAACTA